CTGGCGCCTTAGCCACTTCAGCAATAGGCACCAAGCTGCTAGTTCTATTTTTAATAGTGATAGGGTCTTGCCCTTGCTCAGGTTGGTCTCTAACTCCTGAGCTCAAGTAATCCACGTGCCTTGGCCTCTCAGAGTCTAGGATTAAAGACGTGAGCACTGGTCCTGGCAGTAATTTTTATTGATGTGGTTACTGTTGCTTTAAGACATTCTGAAATCCTTGAGAAGCATTTTGGGTCAGGAATGCACAGATCTCTCCAATCCATCTTCTCCTTAAGCTTCCACAGGAGCTGTCACCAAGGGACATGCCCAAGGTCACAAGGCAAGTAGCAGAACCAGAATAGAACTCAGAACACAAGCTGAGGCACACGGTTACCTGGCAGAGTGCCCTGCACTCTTATCTCAGCACATGAGCGCACATAGAGAAAAGAAGAGAAGCTTTCACTGAGGGCTGTGGCTCACTCCCACTGTTGCTGTCCACAGCGCCCCTCTTTCAACTATACTTTTTGGAAGCTTCAGGAAGAGCCCAAGTGGAAACCCTAAGATGCTGCTCAGAATTATCCACCCACCAAGGGACTCATAGGACTCCATGTGTCACTGTGTAGCCTCCAGACCCCTTACCAGAGCTGGTGAGGGTGACGCCATTCACTGTCCCCTCCACGTCCGTCTCATCCTCAGCATAGCTCAGAATCAGGCTCTGCTGTCGGCTTGTTAGCCTCCTGTGGGTCAAGTACAGACAGTGTCTGAGTGCCTCCTCTGGGCAGTTCTCTGAAGGACACATATATGCAGCCAGTGCCCTCAGTGTGTGTTGAAGGTGGGACCCTGACCCAGGCAGGGATGTGCACTGAGCCAGTGAGCCAGGCATGAGATCTGAGGAGAAAAGCTTCTGAAGAGAAAAGCTCCTAAAATACCCTATGTTGTTTAAATAGCTGTTTCTATAGCTGTGCAGAGTACACTTTATTGGAGGAAAACATAATTAGCACAGCATGTGTGTGAAACAGTTAAGAAATGAATCCAATGAAAAGGACCAGGGCTGGAACCTGGCCTCCCAAGGGAGCTGAGCTCATCCCACCCCAGGTACCCACAGCATTCTGCCCAGACCCTTGTCCTGGTCACATACACTCTGAAATGCCCAATAGCAGTATAATATTAGTGATAAAATCAATAGTAGTGGCAACAGTTAAGTATTTCTTATGTCTTAATTATTTAACTCTCCCAACAACTCCATGAGGTCACCTTTTCTGTTACTTTACAGATGGCAAACTTGGGCAAAACATAGTTGACTCAAAGGGAGAAGAGACCTACAGAAGCCCAGGGCTTATAGGGCAGAGTATGTAGCCCAGTCAGGCTGGCCTGACACTGAACCATGGACCTGGGGTGCTTGGCACAGGGCTGGCAGGTAAGAGGTTCAGTCAACTCCTGCTTGGAAGAGAGTAAACTGCCCTCTAGCAGACCTGGCCACAGCCTAACTAGGCACTTACTTTGGAACTCTTATTTTGATGTGGATGTAGTGGTCTCCATAGCCATAGCTATTAATCCGGGGGATGCCTTTCCCACTTATCCGAATCCTCTGATCTGTCTGAATCCCAGGGGGGATCTGTGAAGAAAAAATATCTGTCACTGAGCATGGTGGCCACTTGTAGTCCCAGCTAACTTGGGAACCTCACGCAAAAGGATAGCTTGAGCCCAGGAGTTAGAAGTTACAGTGAGCTGTGATCATACCAGTGTACTCTAGCCTGGGCATCAGAGAAGACCCTATCTCTTTTTTTTTTTTTTTTTTTTTTTTTGAGA